CCCCCCACCAGGCTGCGTTGCCAGGCTAGCGCCTTGCTGAGAGTCATGGGGAATTCCCCGTTGCCTGCGGGCGATCCCACTGCCTCCCCCTAGTTTTGCCCGTGTGCAATTCGGTGACTAGAGGAGTCCCAACATTTCAGCTGGCTGCTGAACATCTGGGGCGCACTGCAAACCCAGGCTGCCAACACTGAACTCAGCAACCCCCCCAAACGGGAGCCTTCCTGGGTGCCCCCTTAACAGGCAGATAGCACCAGCCACTCAGGAAACTTGAGTGTCGCCCTGATCCCAGCCTTCATCCCTCAGACTTCAACCTTCACAGATCCTGCAGAGTCTATCTTTAAACCTCCTCTGCTCTCTCCTATCACTCCTATTCTCCCTCCTTTTGTATTCTGACACTGCCTTGCCCAGGTACCAATTGTTCTCTGAGCACAATTGTTCGCAGCACGCTGGGCTCTTGACTTCTGGGCCCCCATACCACCTGCTTGGTTAACCTGTTCATCCTTCAGGACTCTGGGAAGGCTCCTTCTCCCCCTGAATGCTACGTTAATTGCCTCTGAATTTCACAGTCCCTTGGCTTCCCTTTCTATGATCATGTCTTCTTATCAGCCCCTTCTACTCGGGAGACCTCTATGCAGTCACCGGTGGGAAGTGGACAAGAATGTCCATGAGGGGAGGAAGAGGGTGAGCAGCTGGGTTCCCCAGGTCAAGGGGTGCCTGGGGGCTCAGATACAGGAAGCCCAGAGGACTCTTGCCTTTACAGGTCTTCTAGGCCAGGCTCTCTGCCTCTGCTAACCTAAATTACACGTTCATGCTTGCTAAAGTGGAGGGGCAGCGGAGAAGAAGGCCCTCAGGAAGATGGGTTGGCAGCGGCTGCAGCAATGGGCTCAGACAGAGGAACCATTGTGAGGACGGCACAGGACAGTGCAGCGTTTCGTTCTGTTGTGCATAGGGTCGCTGTGGGTTGGAGCCAACTCAGTGGTACCTAACAACCACAACAACAGGTTCATACTGTTTCCAGTGCAGGCCTGGGAAGCTAACTTGGATTCGAAGTCAGACAGATTGAAGTTCAAATCCTTGCTCTTGATTATATGTTATATGCCCTTAGACAAGTCACTTTCTCTCCCTAGGTCTGTTTCTTTAGTAATACATCGGAACAATGAATTCTCATATGGTTATGAGGGTGAAGTACCTAGCAGGGGAATACATAAGAATCTAGACCAGAAACCAATAGGCCCTGCTTTGGGGACCTAGTTCAATCCCCCACCCCCCATTTAACTTACTTAGGCAACTACTATACGCCAGGCATTGGGTAAAGAGTGAGGAGCCCTGGTGGCATAGTGGATTAACTTTACGGTTAGCAGTTGGAGCCCATTAGCCACTCCTTGAGAGAAGGATAAAGCTTTCTGCCCCTGTTAAAGACTTACAGCCTAGGAAACCCACAGTGGCAGTTCCACTCTGTCCCATAATGTCATTCATTATGAGTTGGAAATCAATCCAATAATGAGTATTGGGCTTTTTCTCTCTCTCTTTCTTTTTATTATAAGGAATAGGTCAGGAGAGACTTGATTATTTCTAGCTTCATCTCCCCAAATCTCCCTTGTGGTTCACATTCTAACAAAATGGAACCGCTAGCAGGTTCGTTTTCACATCTCTGTGCCCTTTGCACACAGTGTTGCCTTTATCCGGAACACCCTTTCTCCTGGCCACCAAGGGAACTCCTCCTCCTCTTCCGCAGCCCCGTTCAGTTCAGCCAGCACCTCCTCTCTGACTGTCCTCTTCCTCCGTGATAGCCTAGAAACTTCTTTTCACCTGTGCCATAGCAACGACAATAGTGGGCCATCGTGACCTAGTTAGCTGTCTATGGATTTGTGTCTTCTAAATCCTCACGGCAAGGCTATCAGGCTGAGCATGCGCGAGTGCTGGGGGAATGTGTGAGGGAAGGTTACAAAGCCTCCACTCTAATGGACCCATTGCCATAGATTAAATATGGGAACCATTTTGTTGTTGTTGTTGCTGCTTCTCCAATCAGGAGTTTATAGATTTCTACCAAAGCCTATTTCTAACTCCCTCGAGGCTGGGCTGTCTTTGTGGCTCATCCTACCCAAGAGAAAGAGGTGGCAAGAATATCATATGGCTTTACAGCTTTGGCCTGCGCCCGCCTGGCGTGACACAGCCCAGAGACTGCCAAAGAAGGAAGCCAGTCTAGCCCACTGGAGGATCAGAAGCCACGTGGAAGAGGGCCAAGGATCCTCGGACCCCCAAAGGTGATGAGGCCACCTTGGACTCCAGCCTAGCTCATCCTCCACTGGTACGTTCAGGCAACCCCCAGATTCATAAGAACTAGTAAACCAGTTGGTTATTCGTCAGCAGACAACCGAAGCCATGCCACCCAACTAGGCAATCAAAATATAGGGGTGATACAGGGCAATGCTAAGGACCCACGGGAGTCAAGAGACGAGGCACCTATAGCTCAGAAAGATTTCCTGAAGGACGTGCTATTTGAGTAGGGTAGTGAAGGAGAAATAGGTTTGGTGGAGTCGGGTGAAACCAGCCCACTGGAAGGAAGAGCCTGTGTGATCTCACAGAGGGAAGGAGGGGATGGACTGCCCAGGGAGAGCCAGCAAATATGCGCAGAGACCACAGGATTCCCGGAGAGAGGGATTCCCAGTGGCAGTTGGAAACAGAGCTTGAAGATCAAGCCCAGAAGGCCTCCATGCCCAGCGAAGGCGCTTGAACTTTCTGTTGTCAAAAGTAACCTAATTGAATTTGTCCTTTAAAAGTGCACTTTGGAGTCTAGAGCAGGGTCTAGTGCCTTAACCTGGGCTCCAAAGACTAGAAAGGGTGTCTGGATGGGCTCTAGAGGCTTCTTAACCCTCTGAAGTTGGGTATACCATGCTTTATTTGTGTGTGTGTGTGTCCGGGGGAGAGGGGTTCATGTGTGTTTACATTTTAAAATTTTAGGCAAGAGAGACACTGCTTTTCCTCACTTCCTCTAGAGAAAGAAATACCAATATGCTGGGAGGGGGTGGGGTGAAGGGAGGAATGGGGTCAAGGAATTGAGGCAATTTTTGCCTGTTGGTTACTCTCTTCTGGGTTCGAAGGTGGGGGGCTGATCTTTCAGGGGGTTGTGATTACTCAAGAGCCGCCGGTCTCTCTGGGACTGGCAGTAACACTGTCAGAACGAATCTGGTTCTGAGTGGGGCTAGAGGCTGTCATAGGTGATGCTGGGTTATGTCTCTTGTGTCCATCATGAAACCATCCAGTGGGCTTCCTCCTGAGAGATGAGGGTGCTTCTGGGGGTATTCAGAGCCCACCGGAGCCCTGAGGACCCTGACATCACTCCAGCTATTTTAGGCTTATCCCCTGACACCTGGACCTTTAGGGTTCAGTTGGGGCTCCAGACACAGCGGGAAGCTCAGGCCTCTCCTCTGGTCCTGAGGATGGGAGGAGCTAGCACCCAGGTGAGCTCACTGCTCCCACCCTCCCACCCCCTCCTCACCTGGTATCTGTCTGAGTGGTGCAGGTCGTCGGTGGCAGATGAGTGTGGTGACGCAGTGGGAGACTCTCCTTCCCTCTTGATTGAAGTGGACAACAGAAGGGACTGGAAGAAGAACAAGGACATGTGGCCGCAGGCCCAAATGAGACCTATGTCCCATAGAGCCCTGTCGGGTACCCAGTCCTACAGAGCTTTGGGGAACAAGACAGAGAAGGAGGGATTGGGGACCATGCTTCTGATTCTAGAGGCATGTGCTCGGCCCCTGAGAACCTAGCTGTGGGAGAGGATGGCTTGCTTCTAAAATGAGCAGATTCCCAGAGCGGGACCAGTCCCAGGGAGGTGATACTTGTCACTGTGATTTTAAGACTTCCAAATACCACAGGTCTGCGTAGCCGTCTCCCTACCTTCTTCCTGGGTAGAGAGCGGAGACTCTGGGACCCCCATGAGGGGTTGGGGGTAAGACCACCACCTACCTGCCCCCCTGCCAGCCCCCTAATACGGGCTGATGGCAGCCCCGCAGTGGAGACAGTAAACTAAATGGTATGTATAAGTTTCCAGCGTGTGGCGAGCCATGTGCGCTGGCTCCATTTCTCCCTACGCGGAAGAGATGACCCCACAAAAAACCCCGGTGAAACTAATCCCCCCCGTGTCAGTCCCGCGCGGCCTCTTCTACATAAGCCTGCGGTTTGGATTAATAAACTGTCTGCCTTCAATCGTGCGCGAGCGCCGCAGTCCTAAATACCACCTGGCACCAGGGCCTGTGCGGCAGCAAAACTGGGGCCGAGGCCGGGACGCCGCAGACTTGCTCCCCGCGCCCCCCTTCTCCGGCCCGCAGGGCTCGGCACCGGAAGCGCACTCCATTCCCTGCGAGGCCTCCCCAGCCTCGAAAGCCATGCCAAATCGCCGGTGACAGCCCAAAGAAAGCAATTTGGGAAAGATGGAGCAGCCATTTATCCTCCATCTCCGACTGAGCCTTAGGATGTGACCCGCA